CAATAAAGTGTAGGATCAGAATAGGGAAAGCCTTCCATTACGAAGGATTCTTGGGGAGTTAAGTGTGTATGTCACAACTAGCAATTTAGGGTTTAAGATGCGAAGCTTGTTCACAACAATTTCTCCCATGTGACCTTGCAACACCCCATCTAATGAAATTCAAACTACAATGTTATTCAAATTCATACGTTCCTACATTGTGATTCAAGACAAAACAACCTCACACAAGTCCAAAACTCGATCCAATAAGCCAAGTCCAATCAATTTTGGGCCTTAGCCCAAGAATTTTCGGCCCAAAACCCTTATTGGATCAAGACCTCTCTTTGGGCCTTAATGGGCCAAAAACTTCTATTGGACTTTATATTGAGTCGAAAACCCCTTTTAATGGGCCTTGTTGGGCCGAAAACTTTGGCTTTTCTTTGGGCCAAAAACCCATACTTGGGCTGAGAACTTCTATCTTTGGGCTCTTTGAACTGAAAACCTTTATTAAGCATTAATGGGCTGAAAACTCCTATTGGGCCAAGTCAAAAATCGAAACCCACTCTTTTTGGGCCACCCTTTGGGCCGAGAACCCTATGGGGTCGGTTGGAGTTTAGATAAAAAAAGAAAAGAAAAGTAATGCAAATAAAAGATAACACATCATAATTACCTAACATATTTCAAAGTTAATACCCACCATTTATCTAAACAATTGCTATTGACCACCAAATAACAAGGCAAGTTTCACATCAATGAAATCAAACCTCTTCTTTCCCTCCTTCTTTATACATCGACCGAACCACCTTCTCACACACATCTCATTTTCTTCACTTAACTCTCTAAAACATTCCCCTTCTCCTCTAAATTTTTTTCGTGTGGGCGCATGCCATTGGTGAAGTTCCTTCAAGCAATCTTAAGAACTTGGTAAGTCCATGTCAAACTCAAAGTGATTTGTTTCATGTTTATACTAAAACCTTCCATTTACACACTTTTGTTGTGTGTTAAACTCTTATAAACACCACCATTTTGAGAATCTCACCAAGAACACAAGCTAGACTCGAAATTTCTTCACCTTCTTCTTCTACATCTCGAAAAAATCCTCAAGGTGAGCTTCCTACCCCACTATTTTCATGATTTTAATACTTTTTTTTGGGGGGGGGGGGGGGGATACAAGTCAAATCTCATTTAACCAATGGATAAGTGCATGTACCAGTGTGTAATGTGTTCAACCTTTGGGTATTTGCATGAACATGGAGTTCATCTTATACCACTTCATAAAAATCATGAGCATGTGCTTGTTAACATATATATTGCATGAAAACTTGTGGATAAGGGCTATACCCTAAAAAATTAGCAAAAATGAGTGTTGGTTTCAAACATTTATAACTTAAACTTAAACATCAACTTTCAACAGAAAAATTATGGTCCATTTACGGACTGCTTTGACCACCTGAACTTAATATTTTTCAAAACTATTTAAAATGAAAATAGTTCAGGTTTATATCATTCTAAGGACTACTCGCCGCATTCATACAATTTTTCTACAATTTTTGGCGATTTTCACAAAACTTCCTATCATTTCAGGAATGATTTCGAATCAATATGTGAAGATGAACATTTTCACACTGGTTTGAGGCTATTAAAAATTATAATAAAACTTATGAACAAATTAGACTCATTTTCCAAACTCTCAGAGTTTACAGATCTAAATTTTGACTTACGATGATTTTTCTATAATTTTTATAATAACAGGAACAGAATAGTCAAAAACAAGAAATTGTCTTTATCATACTAAAAACTCTTATATATATATATATATATATATATATATATATATATATATATATATATATATATATACTTTTAAAACATCTAGACATGTTAAATTATATGCATTTATATATATGATTATATAAATTGTCTTGACAAACAAACATAATAATGTGACAACCCGAAGTTTTCATTCTGTACTACATATCAAGTCAATAGAATTCAGAACAGTTACTGTTAACTTTCAAATGATTTGGGATAAGTTTGAACATTTTATGATTTACACTTTAGGAGATGCCAGGAGAGGGGATGCTATTTGAGTTATTGTGCAACAATGACATTTCATACTCCAAGAAATTGGAATTACACGACCCAAAAATAGAGTTTGCGGTCCAAAACCCTAGGGGTATATATATGGTCCTTATCCATATTTATTCATTTCTTCCATTTCCAACTAGAGAAAAACCAAATTCTCTCTCACGGATCTTCGGTCTTTCGTCCCAAATCGTGAGTACTTCTATCTAAGTGTATTATAGGGCTTGATATGTGTCTAATAAACTAGAAATCGTATCAAAATGTAAACCCTTCTTTAAGGGACAAATGAGTGCCCTAGTCCCTTCCTTTTGCAATGAAACTAGCCTAGAACCCTATTGTTTGTAGGACTAGAAAACACCCCAAGAACACCAAGAGTAAGGTGTTCATGACCCAAGAAGTTCTTGGATCGAGAACCCCAATCAAGAGTGCCAAAGTGTGCTTTAAACTCTTCATAAGCCTTGGACACTAGCCTAGATTCATTCCTAGTTAAGTTAGGGACTTGAAAACACCAAAAACACCATACCCATGAGAGATTACGGTCGTAATCTCTAAGGGATTTGGTTCTAGGGCCGTGAACTCCTCAAAGGAGTTGAAAGGTGCCCTAACCTTTTCCAAGGACTAAGCCATCAAGTAGAAATGATTCTTAGGGTCTTGTAAAGCCTCAAAACACATCAAATGGTCATGAAATTATGAGCTTACGGCCGTAAACCCATGAGTTTACGACCATAAACTCATTTGTTGAGAACCTTAGGGTCGTGAACTCCCTTAGGGAGTTTTCCATGAACCTTACACCCATTAGCCATACCCCCATAACACTTGGATGCAACCCTTGTGATCTTTAAACACTTGAAACAAAGTGTTTTCATGTTCTAGAATGTCCCAACATAATTCATGTTCCAGCTCAATCTCCCTCTTTTGGGCATTTGCCTGGAGCTCAGCAAATATCTGGTATGTTGAGTTTGCCACGAACTCACGGATGTCTCTCCTCAGTATGCTCAGATATCGACTCATGCGTGGCTGCTCAGTAGACACTTGCTCAGGACAAAACAACGCCCTCTCATGAAACATCCTTGTAATCACAGTCACGGACTCCGTCCCCTACTTGAGGGACAAGAACTCCTGCGCCAACCGTTCCCTCTCCACCTGGGGAACATACTCATCTCAAAACATGGTGGTGAACCTCTCCCAGGTCACCGCTGTAATCTCTGTAGAAGTAAAATCATCCGTTACAAATTTCCACAAGTGCTTCACTCCCAAGCGAAGCTGGTTCAAAGCGAACCGTACCCTCAGATGCTCCGGACAAGAACAAATGTAGAAGCATCCCTCAATGTCTGAGATCCACCTCATCGCAACTATCGGGTCCTGAGTCCCATCAAACTCTGGTGGCTTTGTGTTGCTGAACTCTCGGTACAACAATGAGTCACCCCTTATGGCCTCGCGGTGGCAACAGCTGTTGTGGCTGCAACAACATCCGCCTCAGTAAAAACAACATACCTCTCGTCAAACGTCTCAATCAGCGTGGTCTTGATAGACCCAAACATCTCCGGAATGGCCTCCCGGATCGCCGCGACCACCTCGTCATGAATCATCTGACAAATCTCCTCATCGCTAACGCCGCTGTCCCCTGGTGTGTGGCGTGTCCCAACCATGATGTCTCTGAAACACAACAGAAAAGATATCAGAGACTCGCTTGAGTATACTCGCACTCGATACTCAATCCTACTTGTTCCTTGGTACCTTAAGGATTCTTACTTGGATTGATCACTGATCCAATTCTTCCAGTAGTACGGGCCCTATACTACCTTCCACAACGCATCGATATTCACCCCAAGTCCTCCTCCTAGTAGCAGTAATCTCTTAGGCTAAGGCATCACAAAGCAGGCCACTCTAGTCCTAGATATGTACTTAGCCTACTCTAGCATGCATAGCATATCACATAATATCTCATAACACATAATGTAAGGGTATTTTGGGAAATCACCGTTCGGGTGCTGACTGATCGTACACACTGCTCCGTTCTGCTTGTCTAAAAATCTTTTACTCTTTTTAGAAAATTTGTTTATTTTATGAAAATATCCGCAAATCCTCAGTTTGAGTTCAAATATCCCCAAAGATGCATCCGAATCCCTCAAACTAAGACTCTGATACCAACTTGTAACGACGTAATTTTTCAAAACAATTTTTCATTTTTCAACACAATAAAACTCATATAATATTCTCAATTCTCATGTTATCAAATGTCATCACAAATAAACATATCCCAGAATCTCAAAATATAATCTCCTGCCAGTGTGTACAGATCATGCCGACGCCTTTCCGCGATCCTCGCTAGTACCTGAAACACATAACACACGGTAAACATAAATGCTTAGTGAGTTCCCCAGAATACCACATACAACACATAAGCCACTCGAGGCTATAACTCGGATGACCCTCCGATCAATGTGTCTCAGTGGGACCCTCCAGTCCTGTAGCTCGTTGGACCCTTCGGTCCGGTCTAATATTTAAACAAAAAGAGGATTAAAATAAGCTAATATTTAAAGAGAAATTAAATATACTCTTACATTTTATTCATACTTATCCTCCTACCATATCAAATGTTGACATTTAATAAAATTGATAATATTTTAGTCCACTTGTCACCATTTAATGTGGGTAGGAGAATAGTAAGACTAAAATGTAGATGGATATTTAATTTATCATATTTAAAACTAGCACACAAACACTCCTTTTTGTACATGCTTTTCAAACTCCTAAATTTCGTAGTGGGTGTGTAAGTTATCTTGTTAAAGGCAAAAGGGGCATATTATGACTCCAACCATACATGTAGGGTAGGGGTGACAATCACATCGGATTACAATGTTCGGCCAATAACTTAAAAAGAAGGATATCGTTATATAGATAAATATAAGTTTATGTGGATAATTAGGTTATCTTAAAAATCCGAATTGGATGGGGATAACGTTATGTATAATGGTATCAACAAACCTAAAAACCTAACAAACCGGTTTTAAGTAACAAACTTCTCCTGCTTTTCCTTCATTATCTTGCTGTTTTCCTCTCTCTCTCTCTCTCTCTCTCTCTCTCTCTCTCTGCAACCATGGCAACTGCGACAACAAAGACAGCCGATGATGAGAAATCGTTGAACGATTGGCTGCCTATCACGTCGTCTAGGAATGCTAAGTGGTGGTACTCCGCTTTCCACAATGTCACCGCCATGGTCGGAGCTGGAGTTCTCGGCCTCCCCTACGCCATGTCCGAACTCGGATGGTACATATATATGTTCTTCATGAACTTTTCTTATTTTAAACCTAATTACTTAACACATCATGAGTATACACAAAAAGTATAAAGTTTTAACAAATCTTTATTTCATGTTGGGCTATAACTTTAATTAATAATATTGTGTTCTTTTCAGGGGTCCTGGAATTACTGTAATGGTTTTATCATGGGTGATAACTCTCTACACCTTATGGCAAATGGTGGAGATGCATGAATGTGTTCCTGGGAAACGATTCGATCGTTACCACGAGCTAGGCCAAGAAGCCTTTGGCAAGAAGCTCGGTCTTTGGGTGGTAGTGCCGCAACAACTCACCGTCGAGGTTGGTGTAAACATCGTCTACATGGTCACCGGCGGCAAGTCCCTCAAGAAAGCTGTTGACACCTTATCACCTCACGGTGGTCCACCAATCAAAACCACCTATTACATCATGATGTTCGCCGCTGTCCAGTTCTTCCTCTCCCACCTCCCCAACTTCAACTCCATCACTGGCGTTTCATTCCTTGCCGCCATTATGTCATTCTGGTACATGCGTCAAATACTTTACATGTGAAACCTAATTTATATAAATATTTTCTTGATACTTATAACTGTGTACGCAGTTATTCAATGATAGCATGGATAGCTTCAGTACGCAGAGGGACTCAACCCGATATTAAGTATACGCCAAAGGCTTCAACCACCACTGGCCAAACGTTTGGATTCTTGAGCGCATTAGGTGATGTAGCCTTTGCCTTTGCTGGCCATAACGTTGTTTTGGAGATTCAAGCAACAATCCCTTCGACACCTGAAACCCCATCCAAGAAACCCATGTGGAGAGGGGTTGTTTTCGCGTATATTGTGGTGGCTTTGTGTTATTTTCCTGTAGCAATGATCGGATACTGGGTTTTCGGTAACACTGTTGAAGACAATGTCCTAATTTCACTTGAACGTCCTCCTGTTATTGTTGCTATTGCAAACCTATTTGTTGTTATTCATGTTATCGGAAGCTATCAGGTATTTTCCGTAGTCGTGATCATCATTTATACCTATTTCTACATATGCTGATTATGTATATTATCTGATCAATTTTGTAGGTTTTTGCAATGCCGGTATTTGATATGGTGGAGTACTTTTTGGTTGTAAAGATGAAATTTAAGCCCACCAAATTCCTACGTTTTGTTTCAAGAACTTCTTATGTTGGTAAGATTCATATATAACTCTTTTCGGTGATTATATTTATGGAGATATTTTGATTTAGTGCTTAAGTGATGTTAATGTTGGGCAGCCTTGACCATGTTCCTTGCTATAACATTCCCATTTTTTGGAGGGCTCTTGGGTTTCTTTGGGGGCTTTGCTTTTGCTCCCACTACATATTTTGTGAGTACATTTCAGTTCATTCTTATACAGTGTGTACAATTGAATATATTATCAATCATATCAAACCAAAATTAAAGTGATGATATATTGATATGGTAATTTGGTGTGTTTTTTTTACCAGCTTCCTTGTATCATGTGGCTAGCCATCAAAAAGCCCAAGAAGTTTGGTCTTTCTTGGTTTATAAATTGGGTAAGTTGCTATTACTATTTTCATTTTTCATGAAGGGTTTTGGTCAATAAGGTTCCTAAACCATTGAAATAAATGGACTCTCTAGAACCATATGAACTTATATAGTATCTGGGTTTTGATTTTTTGGTACAGATATGCATAATTCTTGGTGTGTTGCTGATGTGTTTAGCCCCGATCGGAGCATTGCGGCAAATCATATTGCAAGCGAAGGATTACAGATTTTACTCGTGATTATTATAAGATATGGAGTGTTCTCTTAGAATATGTAGGTTGAAATTAAGTTAATTATTTTAGAAGGTTGTGTCATGATTTCATTTCCTTGCTAAGTTCCTTTTACGTAGGTTTTCATATTTCCTTGTCTAGTTCTATGCTTGAATCTTAATTTCTTATTTATAAAGAAGAAGTGATGTCTTTTATTTCGATTTGAAAAATAATACAAAATCATCTGACAAATATTAAACAATATAAGTGTCATTGCTTTATTAATGGAAAAGCCAGATATTCTTCCTGTTAATATTATCTCCTCGCAAGGGATGAAGCGGCATGACATAGGTTCCTTGATTTGATAAGTGTTGAAATACACTAATCTAAAAAACACCGACTCATTCATGGAGGCTTATAGTCTCCCATATCTAGTTAACCTAACATGGTGGGATGTTTGTTCAACTTTCATTAAAAAACAATTGTTTGGGTGAGTCTTGAGTGAATGCTCATCAAAACCTTAGCTCAACAAGCTATCATATTAGTCCCCTAGGTCTTGAGTGTGAGAAAGACTAGCGAAGATCTCCATGTTTGGCATCCATTTTCATGTTTGGATGGCAAAGAAGAGTATGGGGGCTTTATTGTTGATGTTGAGGACGACAACATCTCTCAATAGAACAAAGAAACAAAATAATGGCATTCTCACAAATCATGACCGTTGGATCAACGAATTGATGTTGATATTAATAGATTGATGTTGATACAAGGTGAGATTGGGATGAGTTTCTCATCCTCATCGAGGAAAATGGCGGCTCAAGTGGCTATTTGGTTTGAGGGTTGTGTGAGTTTAGAGTTTGGTATACCTCCCCGTCATGTGAATTGTGTCTTCTTGGGGGCATGATAACAGAATTTGGGAAAGTAGGTCAGGGCTCTAGTCATGAATTGAGTTCAGTTCTGGTGTTCGGTCGAGTGCGTGCTCGACTCTGTATGCGTTTCAAATGGATAGATTAGGGGTAAGGCATTAGGTTGTGGTTGTGTTAGGATGAAAGTGCCGTAAGACTATGGAGGAGCCCTAGCATTCACTAACGGTCAGTTGGAGTGAAAGTGTTGTAAGACTAAGAGGGAGCCGTAGCATTCACTAATGGTCAGTTAGGATGACAGTGTTGTCACTACTAGAGCACAGACTTTTAATGACATGCAAATAATGTCACTCACGGATTTACGATACGCATCTTGCGTGCGTCCTAAAAAAATGTCAACTTTCCAAAATTTAAAGGATGGAGGACACACATTTATGCTTGCCCTAAAATTACTTGTCGAAAAAAAAAAATTACAAACACAAAGGGCACTTAAGTTAAATGGGTGTCATGTAGAAATGTTGTTTTATAAAATTTAATACGCTCGTAGGTGGGAAACTAAATACCACAAAATTTTGACGTACCCCTCCTTCTTTTACCTCTGCACTTTCTCCACTAGATCTTCACCCACCGATGACCTGCATTCCATCGCTCCATTTTCTCTGCAAACTCTAAACAATCGCCCCCACCATTGAACCCTAAAATCGCAATCCACCTTCCTCTACCTCTTCACTCTCTACACCGACCAGATTGACCTTAATTCTCTCCCTCCTTCTCTCTACCACTACTAGAAAACAGAGCAATAGCGACAGAATTTTAGTGACGAAAAAATCTGTTGGAAAAAATGATGGGTTTCTGACGGATTTTCGACGGAATAATTATTAGGATATTAGCGACGTATTTTGCGACAGTTTGGCAACATAATAAAATCGGTCGGTAGTCTGTTACAACTTCCGACGGTTTACCGACGAAAATCAACAAATCTGAAATTCCGTCGGTAATCGGTTGGTAAAATAATATTTTATTTTTTAATTGTAAGGGCAATTCGGTAAAATCAAATAAGGGTATTTCACAGCCTATGATGTGCTGCATATCGACTTGACCTAAATTAAGGGGCATATCAACTTAACCTAAATCAAGGCTCGCAGAACTGCGAACAAAGGTCGACAACACGAAGCATCGCCTCCGGGATCTCGCTCTCTCTTGCCGCCACCGTCGACGGAGCTGAAGGTGTCGAGCGCTCCAATTTCTGGAATTCGTTGAGTACTGCTAAATTCTCTTTGAATAGCTTACAACACAAGTATGTATTTGCATTATGCTTTCCATTAGACTAGGCTCTACTTATCAATTGATTAATTCGTTGAGTACTGCTAGCCTCCCCCTTTCTTTTTTTAGGTTTAACAATTTATGGATCTTAAATCATTCATCAGATGCTCTTGACTATTCCTTAGACAAAATTATTATCTAATCGAGTACACGGTCATTGCATCTATTTGACATTGTTTTGTATGTTAAGATAGAGTAGTTTCTTAATGATAATAAAAACAATGTGGAATGAAAGATCTTTGACAGTACAGTTACATTGTGAATTTGTGGGCAAATTTGCTCTGTATATTATCTAACTGTTCTTTAGTTCGATGACTCCTTTTGTAAATTAAAGTTATCGTAGCTAACTTCTAATTATGGGCTACCAATTGTTCAGTGTGTAGTTAAATCAACAGTTCTGATTGGACATCCTACTTTGGTATGTCTTTTGCACAGACACAAATGTTAATGTTCTAAGGTTCAACAGATTTTAGCAACCTTGATTTGTAGTTGAAAAGTAGAGATGAAATCCAAATCAAGACCTGGAGCATTAAGCGTGTATATTTACATTCCCAATATTACTGGTGAGTTCATCTGTCCTCTTTCACAAGCCAAAACTCTTGTGATATACATATACCAAATGATACTTCAATCATTGAATTAAAGAATTTGTTAACTCATAATATCACATGTCTCAACAATTTACCCTCTTTCACAAGTCAAAGTCCCATTATTTTTTCTATATCCTAGGTTAAAAAGCTGAAATTTGAAGGGCACCTTTTTTGGGGTAATGTAATGCTATAACTTGTTAAGCATACAATGGAGAAAATCAACCAAAAGGAGACAAATACAGCAGCAGAATGATATATGATTCAATAACCAAAATATCTTTAAAACAACGAAAGAAAAATTAAGTAAATTAGCTATTCGAGATTCTAACGTCTCCCATAGGAAAAATTCAAGGAATTTCATTCATGCTCTCGCTCTTATTCCTAAGATGCTAAATAAGATAGGGTGTAACAAACTTTTCCTTCAAAATTCCCAAACCGCCCATCAACAGAAAAGATGCTAATTTGTATTTCCTATGTTTCCATTTTTCCCTTTCTTCCAAAATAAGTGTATTAATGAGTATGGTCTTTTGAAGTGTTCTACTGCTAGGTTGTTTAGTTTATGTATACATGCTCCGATGTTTCATATAACACTGCTTTGTCATGTACATGATACATAAAAGATCTGATGAATTCTTGTGCCTTTGCTATATGCTTTTTCCAATAAAAAGCTTTTTTCAATCCTATATTTCATCAGGTAAAGGGTAGTAAAGAGCTTTTTGCTTGATTCTTGGTGTAGTTTGAATACATTTTCTCTTTGAAAGGATGTAGTTAAGATATTCAATGGTCATTTTTGCTTTTCAGATTTGTTTGTGGTGCTTTAGATGTGTTGAGAAAAGTAAACTTTTATTATCAAACTTAAACATTAATTTATATTTTGTATTAGAAGTGTGTTTCTTATATGTGTAGGTGTGTGTTGTGTAAATTGTGCAGGTGTTACAGGATTTATGCGCGGATCTATTTCGGGTTATTTCAGGTTATAACCCAGGTATATAAAGCAGTCAACAGGAGAGGATGAGTTAATTATGTATCAAATATTTTAGATGGTTCTTATCCTCTCTCTCTCTCTCTCTCGTTCTCATACACAGATTAGGGTTTGTTCATATTGTAAAGAAAAATTATGTGTCTTACAGTTTCTGTTGTATTCTAGTTTTCATATGAGAGTGAGTGAATTTGTAGTGAGGTTTCTTTTGTAATCTGTTGATGTATAAACCATCTGTTTCATAGTGAATGAAATGATGCAGTTGGGAAATCTTTGAGTTGTTCAGTTTTTTAAGATGGTATCATAGCTTTAGGCTTTGTTTTCTATTGTTCAAACGCTTGGTGTGATTGTTCGTCTCTTGGTGGTTGAGTTATATTTAGATCTTGTTTTTTTTGTTTGAATCTGTTTGTTGTTTACCGATCTAAGTGTTCGTCTGAACTCTTGGTTCGTTGATTCATAAATTGTTGTTCGTTCGATCTGATTTAGGGTTTTCACCTGGAAAATCAAATCAACGTAGCTTTTGTTGTTTTTCTTCTAGATCTTGGTACTGCGAGATTTGTTTGTGTTCTTGCAAGTTACTGCTGTGGTTCTTGTGTTTGTGATCGTGATCTCTTCTGTGAGTTGTTCATCGATTGAGAAAACAAACTAGTCGGTTAATCTTCTTGTCTGAAATAACTCTCTAGGGGCTGAATTTCATCACCGATAAACTCTAGAAGGGAACGGACAAGGAGAGTCGATTTCTCTTACACGTCTCAAAGCACTGTGAGAATATTCTTGTACCTTTCTCTTTGTTCTATATATCTGTTCTGGGAGATCCTGGTGTCTCGTGTACACCAATTATTGTTCTTACTGTTTTTGCTATTTGTTTTTGTTTTGTGTTCCTTCTGTACTGGTGTCTTGGGCATCGACATACGTGGTGACCATCTGGACGTAATATCAGTACAGAAGTGAGTTCTTTGTTTCTTGGTTGTTTTCTATATGGCTGGTGGTTCTTCTGATCCACCTAGTGGAAGTGGAAAGGATGATCAAATTAATTTTAATGATCCTCTTTACATCCATCCTTCTGATAATGTTGTTACATCAATCATTACAACGAAATTAACTGGAAATGAATATTTTAGACTTTGGAGGAGCTCCATCTCTAGAGCTCTTAAAGCTAGGAATAAGCTAGGGTTTGTAGATGGTACTTTTAAAAGAAGTATGGTTGATGATTCCAAACAGGCTAAGTGGGATAGGGCCAATGCTGTTGTTTCTTCTTGGCTTCTGTCTTTTATTTATAATTCCATCTATCAGAGTCAAGCTTATTCTGAAGTTGCTGAAGAAATTTGGGAAAATCTTTTTGATACATATAATAAATCTGATGGGTCAGTTGTGTTTAATATTCATCAGCAAATTAATTCTTTTAAACAAAATGGTATATCTTTGTCAGATTACTTCAATAAGCTTGATTCTTTATGGAAGGAATTTGATGGTCTTACTAGTTTAAATGAGTGTACTTGTGATGCTTCTGTGAAAC